CCCGCGGGGGGGGGGGGGGGGGGGGGGGGGGGGGAGATGTCCGGCTTCCAAAAGAGTTGCTTCCCCTCCGCCACTTCCGCCTTCTGGAGTCTCGGGACCCACTCTGGAGCGAGCCCTGGTGGCTCGGTGGTTATGAATGGAGCTGCCATCTTCAAGGTCAGCCTTCAAACCACCTGCCATTCCGAGGGAGACAGACAGGACTTTCTGCTCCCACACAGCCGCAGTCTCGGAAGCTTGCGGCAACCCCACCCTGCCCCGTAGGGTCGCTCTGCTCTGCGGGCCTGCTGCAAAGGGCAGGTCTCAGAGCAGCTTGCGGCTGGTGGCCTGGAGACCATCAGCAGTATGTGGTCCCTGCCTGGCTGCCCCCAGAGGGACAGGCCTACCCTGTGACCGGCTGTCAAAGGCACAAAGAAGGGAGTGACCCCCTTTTGGCCTTTCCTTCCTTCTGGCCTGGGCATCCCCACCCCATCTCCTCCCCCCACGGCCACCACACACACCTTGTGGTTGGAGTTTGAGGAAGTGTCCGGAAAGCTGGCACCCCTGTGGTGCAACCCCAATTTGTCAAGGTGCATCCTGCCCAGTTTCCTTCCCCAAAGCAAGAGGCACGGGGACGGGGCTGCTCCTGGCATGAGAACGGGCAGCAGGGCATGTGCTCAGTCCCCTGTGCAAACACTGCCCCGGAGGAGGGCAGAGGTGCCTCTTCTCCCCAGGAATCCTGTGATGCTTGCTCGCCAGAGGGCCCAGGGGCCCCTACCCAGGTCTCACACGCAGACACTGGCGCGCTGGGGGCCCTGCTGGTGAAGTGGTAACTTGGATCTGCAAGGTCTGCAGTTCAAAACCACCAGCCGCTCTGCAGGAGAAAGGCGGGCTTTTCTGTTCCCGGAAAGAGTCGCAGTCTTGGAAACTCACAGGGGTGGTTCTAGCCGGTCCCAGCGACTTGCTGAGTCGGCATCGACTCCAGGGAGAGGGTTTGGTTGGTTTGTCTGACTTGGTCAGCCGGCCAGCCTCGGGGATTTCCTGGTGAACTCCGGAGGAAAGCCCACTCTCTGGTGGAGGAGCGGCGGTTTCTGGAGAGAGGGATGGGGGGTCCCCTGGTTTCTCCCTCATCAGCCCCCCCACCCCCCCAGCCCAAGAATCACTCCTTCATGCCCTTGCTCACGAGCAACACGGGAGCCCAGTTCTTGAGAGTTTGGGCACCCCTCCTCTGCCCTAACCTGGAACGGATGTCCCCGCTGTTTCCTGAGTTCCCTTCTGTAAAGTGAGGGGCGACAAAGTTCCACCTGATGAGGCGCCTTGTGAGGAGCAGGTGTGGTCTGAGAAAGGACCTCAGTTGGGGGAGACTTGCGGACAGGAAGGGAGTGCCCTTCCTGTGAGCATGCCACGGAGCCGGGTGGACTCGAGACTCAGCGGGGTATCCTAACATCTGGGCAGTGGTTACCTGCATGCCTAGAGTAATGACCGTTTACAAGAACTGGGAAGCTGTGCCTTTCCCCACAGCTGTCAACACACTTGCCAGTAGCAGAGCTGTCGCTCACGCGCAGCGGCCCTCGCGGACGGGGGCTGCCCCCGGGGGTCTCTGAGGCTGTCACTCTACAGGAGGAGAAAGCCTGTCTTCCCCCGCAGAGTGGCACGTGCTTGCCAACTGCTGGCCTTGGGGTTGACCGGCCACTGCAGGGCTGCTCTGTCTCCTCCTTCCCTCCCGACTTCTTTCATCATTCGGCCAGCCACTTGTGCCACCTCATTCTGACAAGAGGAGCCCAGCCCGTTGGCAGAGGTCACTCTGAGGGCAGAGGTATCCGCTCTCAGCTGAGCACCAGGGAGAAGTGAGGCTTGCCATGGGATCAAATGCCAGTTCAGGGGATCCCAGGATCCCCGGCTCAGAGCCCCAGCCTGGCGTCTAAAGGCAGTTCCCTAAGAGTGGAGACACGGCTGGAGGGACGGCGAGGCCAGTGGCCCAGGCCTGGATGGCCAGGGGAACAGGCCAGGTAGCTAGCCTCCAGGGTAGGAGCTTTGAGGCAGCCCCATCTGGGGACAAGGAAGATCAGAAGCAGGGAGGGGACACTTCATGAGCAGCCATTCGAATGCAGTGTGGGCCCAGGGCCCTGTGCTGCCAGTGGGGCGGCCCCCTGGGGGTCGGGGGCAGACAAGAAGGATGAAGAGTCACTGTCGTTTGGCTGTGTTTTCAACGTCTCATGGCCAGTAGACAGTCCTGTGAACTCTCGGGGAGTGGACGCTCCATGGAGCTGGCCTCCCTATCACTGGGGTGATCTGCCTTGATCTCCCTCTGAGCCCCAGCCCTGTGCCTGGCTCCTCCCCACCCTCTCCCTGGCTCCTCCCACACAGCACCTGGCTCCTCCCCACCCACTTGGCTCCTCCCACCCTGTTTTGGCTCCTCCCACCCTGCGGGCCCTGGGTCTAGTCCCCTGGCATCAGCGTGGAGGGCACTTGAGACAGAAGTTTCGAGGCTGACGCCACCCTCCCCGGTTAGCAAATGTGGGGGCCTCTTGATAAGAACCAGGAGCAGCTACAGGCTCGATTGGGGTCAAGTTAACCTTGGTCTGGGTACAAAGCAGCTGCTCTGTGACCCCAGCCCTCACCTCGGGGTCCCAGGGGTCCCTGTGGCCCTCAAAGCAAGCTGTACAGATGCTGCCATTATCTTCCAATGGCCTCTGGGCTCCCAAGTTCAGCTGGTTTGTGGGCCACCTGCTGGGTGACCTGGGCTGACGCCCACTGGCCACTGGCTCTGAGCCATGAGGTGGGGCGGGGAGTAGCATTTCCTGCAGAGTTAAGTTAACCTCAGAACACCCTGCTCACCAGCTCCCTGCCACCATATCCACCCCCCCACACAGGGCCTCACACTGGCCTCAGGCGACAGCCCCCCACCCCCCAAGTCTCTTAATCCTAAACACCTTTCCTTGCAGGCCTGAGGGCCTCACCGCACCCAGGAGGGGACTGAGGCTGCTCTGAGGAGTGCTTTCTTGAAGTGGAATCAGGATTTGAACTCAGGCCTCAGACCCTCACAGTCTGCTGCTCTCTGACTGCACACACGCTGCGTGGTGGAGGCTGCATCTGCCCAGTGAGTGACGGGGCTGCTTCCAGGTGCTGAAGCCACACGTCAGCCCTGGGCCCCTGCCCTCTGATCCAGAGAGGCCCAGTCCCTCCCTCAGGTGACTCGCTTCCGGCATAGAGCCCACGCCAAAGCCTCTGCCATGAAGTCCATCCCAGGGGTGGGTTCCCAGGAAGGCAACTCTCCCCGGAGCAGAAAGCCTCCTCTTCCCCCCACGAAGCGGCTGGTGGTTTCACCCTGCAGACCTGGCAGTGAACAGCCACTCTGCCACCAGGTGACAAGGTGACAAGCCCACACCATGGGCCACGGAGCCAACTGTGACTTGTGGAGACTTAGGGGTCAAGGTAGAGCTGCCCCTGTGGGTTTCCAAGACTGTCACTCTCTAGAGGAGCAGAAAGCCTCCTCTCTCCTGCAGAGCGGCTAGGGGGTTTCAAACTACTGACCTTTTGGTTAGCAGCCCAGTATGTAAGCACTATGCCACCAGGGCGCCTATCCAGTAAACAAACAAACCAAACCGACTGCCGTCGTGGAGTTGAGGCCACTCAGAGCGACCAGGGTAGACGCCCTGTGGGTTTCTGAGACTGTCCATCTTTACGAGAGCAGAGAGCCCCGTCTTTCTCCCGAAGCATGGCTAGTGGTTTTGAACCATTGACCTTACAGTTTGCAGCCCAAGGTATAACCACTACACCACCAGCACTCCTGTAGGGATAGAATAATAAAAATAAAATAATAATCTCTACAGAGATGTTACTGATGAAGAAGAGGGGTGCAGTCTTTGATGCGGATTATTGGACCTTAAGGGCAAGCAAAACCCTCCCATCTGGACTCGTCAGCGACGCCCGACAGAGAGACCAGGTGGAAGTTGTAGAGGGTCCCTTCCACGGACCCACGGTCCACGCTCATGGAAGCAGCGGTCGGGAGACGGAACAGCACTCTGCACGGGATAGAACTGATGGCTTAGGCTCTGAAAAGTGCTTTTTGTTTTGTATTTTTTCCCCAATAGTAACAAATGAAAACAGAAACTTTATTAGGAGCAAAAAGAACAGGTAAAAGTGCAATAGGGCGCGACTTACAAAGAAACCCAGCAACGCTAAAGGAAATGATGTCTTCGACGCCTTACAGCAGCGGTTCCCAACCTTCCTCAGGCCACGACCCTGTCAGACAGCTCCTCGTGGTGTCCGACACAGTTAGTGTCGTTGCTACTTCATCACTGTCATTTTGCTACTGTGCTGAATCAGGCGACCCCTGTGAAAGAGTCGTTCGACCTCTAAAGGGGTCTCGACCCACAGGTTGAGAACCGCTGCCTTACAGGAATCGATTTGCAGTTGCTTTGAACCGGGCTTTGGTGCTGTGAAGAATACAGCTCGTGCACAGGTGTGGACGGATGATTTGCACAGGTGTGGGCGGATGATTTTCACAGGTGTGGACGGATGATTTGCACATCCATCAGCTAGTCCCTGAAGACGACATCGTAGAAACACACAACATTGAACTTGAAAAAGATGTCCTAGGAAATCCCTAGTCTTCTCTATTGTTGCTGCTCTAGGTTGGACCCAGCCGAGACTCTGTTGACCATCAAGTCTCCTGCCCCCTCTTCGGACACTAGTCGGGTTTGGGATACTTGTTTGGAAAGTTCCCTGGGTAACCTGACGTGCTGGGACTCATCGACGTGTTTGTTCCCATAATGCATTTGCGTGTGAGCCATCGTGCCGGCAGTGTGGTGGGACAGGTAGGCAAGGAAGGTCCAGCATGGGACCCGCAGCTCTGAAAGTGTCACTTTGAACAGGGATGTCGCCTTGGGGACTGGGGGCACCTGGGCGGGCCAGGAGTGGCATTTTCCATCTCCCCTGTGCCTGAGAAAGCTGGACGGACGGCCACTGAGGACGACCGGGAAGGGTGGAGGCTGCTGAACGCTGGTGCCGGGGAAGAACGCCGAAGGTACGGGGACTGCCAGAAGGACAGGCAGGTCTGTCTCGGAAGAAGCAGAGCCAGGGCTCCTCGGAAAGAAGCCGCGTCGCGCGGCCTGGACGTGTTGTCAAGAGGGACCAGTCCCCTGGAGAAGGAGAGCATGTTTGGTAAAGTAGGGGGGGTCAGGGAAAAAGAAGACTTTCCACAAGACGGACTGGGGTGGGGGAGGGGCGGGCTTTGGTCTGCATCCCAGGTGGTGACGAGTCTGAATGGATGCCTATTACCCTGAATCCGACGGAGGGGCTCCTAACAAGAGCAGCCGCAGCAACAGCATATGAAGGGAGACCCCCAAAAATGGAATTTTTTTTCAAAGCTATGTATTTGATTTTTTTAAAAAAACAAAACAAACTTACCACCTTCCAAGGGCTCTCCGAGACACTTAATACATTTGTCAAATCTGCGATTCCGTTCTTGGAAACATTGTCCAAACTCAGCTGTTGGGATGGCTGACAGCACCTCCCTTTTTTTCTTCACCTCTTCTACGTCTTCGAATCGCTGTCCTTTCATGTCCCTCTTCATTCCTGGAAACAAAAAGAAGTTGCCCCGAGTGAGAAAGGTGCATGGAACAAGAGAGGCATGCTGGGTTTTGGCCCCAAAACTGTGATGGCCGCATGAGCAGGGGCACGGTCGTGGTGGCAAAACCAAGCCTCCGCCTGCCACCAATCAGGCCTTTGTTGCCACACACTATTATGTGCAATCTTTTCAGAACCTCTCAACAGAAAGCCTGATGAGCAGTCTGACCTGGAGGAACGAGCCCCAAAGGCACTGTCTCCCTTACATCAAGCAGAAAAATGAGCACCAGGGCTGTGGGGTGCCCCCTCGTCCAGAGGTCTGAGCCCTCCCACTCAAGAAGTGCACTGGAGAAAATGTAGCAGGCAGCTGCGAGGGTGGCACTGGGCAGTTTTGTCACCCAATAGGAAGTTGTCCTTTGGGCCGAAGGAAAGTGGGGTTTCCGCAGAGATAACTGCTTGTCGGGAAGAGGGTCCAGGAGCACAGCAGGTGCAGGCAAGGCAGCAGTGTGTGCTGAGGAGGGGGAGCCAGGACACCCCCCCACCCCCTACCCCACACGCATGCACGCAGCACGTGTGCAGGTGGCCATCAGGGTTCCCTTGCCTGGGACCCCGGCGATGCCCCAGCAACTGAAAGGAGAAGCAGAGCCCTCTCCGCGCCCCTTTCAGCCCACAGGCCTGACTTCCTCTTTCCCACGCCATTTAAGGCCGGGCTGGGAGCAGCTGCACACAGAGCCCAGAGCTCTCCTCCCATTCGCCCCGCCGCCATGGGAGACCCCTTTATCCGCCACATCGCCCTCCTGGGCTTTGAGAAGCGCTTCCTGCCCAGCCAGCACTATGTGAGTAGCCCTGTGCCCCCTCCCCCACACTCCTGTAGTGGGGAGAGGACAAAGCTAAGCCCTCTGCCCACCCCACCCCCCATCCACACACACACCCGCTGCCGTCTTGGAGCCTGACTGCCCATCTGCATCTGCGCTGGACATGAGCCCTTTGAAAACTCTGCTCCCCTGGCCCTCGGGCCCCTCCTGGTCCCGCAGCCACCTCATTCCCTGCTACCCCTGGCCTCGGACCTAGGGGCCTCTCCTCTGAGGGGCTCCCCGGCATCTGTCTGTTCTGGAGGGAGAAGGACCACCCTAGGAAGAGGGCTGTTTGTCACCCCAGAGTCCCATACACCAAGCCCACCGCCATCGGTTCCAGCCTGACACACAGCGACCCTCCCTGGCAGGTCGAGCCACCCCTGGGGGTTTACAGGGTGGTGACTCTTCCTCCCGCTGAGCCCAGCGGCTGGCGGTTCCCAACTGCAGACCTTACAGCAAGTTGCCCAACATGGAACCAGAAGCCACGGACCAGAGCCCTGCGGTGCCAATTAGAGTAGAGTGGGAGGCGCCCGGGTCCGGGACACCCCTACAGATGCTGGAAAAGGCCCCTTCCTGCCCTGAGGGCTCACCCCTCAGAGGACCCCTCCACGAGGGGCCACGGGGAGGAGCCCCATTTAGTAAACGGCTACTGTGGGGGAGGGAGCCCAGCCCTTTACTTTTTCATGTCTGATTTTGAAATTTCAATTTACCAAAGATGACCTTCCACCCCAGGAAGCGCCCATCACTCCTCCATTTCTGCATGCTGCTGCCTCCCTTTCTCCCTCGGCGCCCCTGGGAGAGGCTGTTTCTGGAGCCCTAAATGCTGCTGTGTGTGCCTCTTTAAATCTGGGGCGTCCTCTTACATAACCAGCATGTGAGTGTGTCAGACGGAGGGTTGCTACACTAGCATCCACCCAGGGAAGAAGTCATGATGTTGTTGTTTGGTGCCCTGGACCCATAGTGACCGCGTGGGCAACACCCCCTGGTCCTGCACGCCAGCCTCACCCTGTTATGTCAGAGCCCTGGTCACTGCAGCCACGGTGTCCACCCATCTCCTTGATGGCCTTCCTCTTTCTCGCTGGCCCTCTACCAAACACGATGGCCTTCTCCGGGACGGACCTGCCCCGATCACATGGCCCAAGTCCGTGTGATGACATCGCCATGGTGACTGACAGGCGGGTGGTCCCTCTGCTCTCCTTGTTCCCTGAGTTCCCTAGTGAGCGAGCATCCACTTCTCCTCTGGCCTACGTCTTTCAGCAGGCTCCCATCCTTTGTGTCGCTGTAGATGTGGATGCTGACACTGCTCAGGATTAGCTCAACGGGGGCAAGCTGGCCTGTGTGCCCTTGCCACATGCCCCCTCGGTCCCCGCACACACTGTGATTTCTGGTACCAACGGTTCCAGCCTCGGCTGGTGGTGGTCTTCCTGCGCCAGCCCTGCACGTAGCCACTTCTCTCAGGAACCCTGGCTCGTTTCCGGGGGGCGTGGAGTTGAGAAGGAGCCCCCGTGGCACAAGGGAGTACATGTTGGACTAACAACGAGGCCACCAGTTCAAAACCACCAGCCAGAAAGATGAGGCTCTGAACTCCCGTGAAGAGCAGCAGTCTTGGAAACCACAGGGGCAGTTCTACCCTGTCCTATGGGGCCAGGCGGACTCAGAATGAACTCCTTCCTGGCAGTGAGCTAGGCTGGTTTTGGTTTGGAATTTAGAAGCATGATCAAGGGGCTGAGTATGCTCAGGGCTTTGGGGGGAGGGGGATCACTGCTGGTCCTTTCAGTGGGCAGACTGGGGGACACCCTCGTTTCATAGGGGGGGCACCCTCATTTCCTCGGTCTCTTGCTTCTCGCCATCTTGTATTGGTAGCTTGTTCCTCCCCCCGTGGGAACTCTCCCCCCAAATCAGTCTTGGGCGCCTTTGCTCCGGGTGACAGTCCACATTCAAGCACTCCCCAACCACTGCGCCCACACCGCCGCCGGAGCAGCAAGAACATGAAGCACCTGTGATGTCAAGGTTGCGTTTACAAGGCAAGCGCTGGGAGAGTGGTGCTGTCCTAGACGAAGGGTCATGGAAAGTACTGGGAGAAAAAACGCACTTGGGGTTCCCCCGCCGTTTTTTCCCTTTAATGTGGTCATGCTAGCTCTTTGCCATCTGTTACGTTTGTGGGTTCCTGTTTCTGATTTTGAGATGTGTAAAAGTCCCAGTGAAACATTTCTGTCTCAAATGGGTTCAAAATAGATCATGTGTGTCTGAACGACAGCTCTCGAACCCCC